GTGTGTGTGTGTGTGTGTTGAATAGAACCCCAAATTCTCTCTCTCATTCCATCCACAAATCATCACTAACCATCCATAAAACAAAAAAGGTATGGATAAAGTAAGCCACGTTTGTGTGGTAAGCGCCAAGTGCCCACACACCCGTCTTCCGCCGGAGCGGCACACTTGCACAAATATATTATAATCCTGAGTGGGGATCCGGGCCGCCCAGGTGACCCGCAGGGGCCCGGGGGAGGTCCCGGGCAGCCTGGCCGGGCGGGCACCCGGTTGGGGGCCGGCCCCCCCAGCGCACTTACCTGTCGGGGGGTTTCGGAGCCCTTTTTGGCTGGTTTTGGCCTACTAGTTCCGACCGGCCCAAGAAACCGTCGCGTCCGGCCCGGTAGGCCTGCTTTTTTTTTTTGAAGTCCCGCTGGCTCTGTGGCCGTCGATCCAGCATTATCGACGGCCACAGAGCCCGCGGATCTTGGAGCCAACCTTCCCCCCCGTTCGAACCTCCGATCGGCTGGGGTGGTCTGCCACTCGCCCCCCAGCACGATCAGAGTTGGTGCCGACCTGCTGCAGCGCCGTCCTGCTGTGCCGTCGCCCGTCGCCATCGCCATCGACTGTCCTGCTGCTGCTGGTACTACGAAGGACCCAACTGTCCTGCTGCTACGACGAAGGTTCTTCTTCTTCTTCTTCTTCTTCTTCTTCTTCTTGTCGGAATCGTTTAGGGTTTGTGTAGGACGCGATGACGAAGGTGCTGCTGCTAGGGTTTCTGTAGCAGGTGACGACGAAGGCCCGATGAACTTCTACTTCTTGTTCTTCCTGTTCTCCTGCTTCTTCTTCTTCTTCTTCTTCTTCCTCCTCCTGTTCTCCTTCTTCTTCCTTTCTTCTTCTTCTTCTTCTTCTTTTTCTCTCCTCCTTGTCCGCTCATATTCTTCTGCTTCTTCTCTCCTCCTCCTCCTCCCCCTCTCATCTTCTTCTCCTTCTTCTCTCCTCCCCCTCTTCCTTCGCTCATCTTCTTCTGCTTCTTCTTCTCCCCTCCTCCTCCCCCCCTCCTCTTCATCTTCTTCTTCTTCTTCTTGTCGGTTATTCGACAGACCCTTTTCGTCATACCCTACCGCCGCCATACCTCGTCCATTCTTCTTCTCTCCTCCTCCTTGTCGGTTATCCTCCCCCTCCTCGTCCATTCTTGATCTTCTTCTTCTTCCCCTCCCACTGCTCCACTTATCATCTTCATCTTCGTTGTCTTCTTCTTCTTCTTCTTCTTCTTCTTCTTCTTCTTCTTCTCTCCTCCTCCTTCTCCTCTCGTCTTCTTCTTCTTCCCCTCCTCCCCCGCGTGTTATCTTCTTTCTCCTTCACCTTTCTTAATCTTTTTCTTCTTCCCCTCCTCCCCCTCGCGTTTTCTTCTTTCTCCTCCACCTTTCTTCATCTTCTTCTTCTTCCTCCTCCGCCATACCCTACCATGCATGCAGCAGACATCAAAGCAGCAGGCAACAAACATGCAGAGCCCCCAACCCAGTACATATCAGATGACATACATTCAGCACGCCAGTTGGTTGGGTAGACGCGTGAGCCTCACAAAGTTGCGTCATACAGTTGGCCCAGGCCCCGACAGTTGCGCCTGGGCACATACACACAAAGCAGGGCCGATACATTGGGAAGCAGGCCGTCGGCCTTGACAAAAGCAGTACTGCCGATGCACCTGCCTGGGAACCCTGCACAGATGCAGCAAACAGCCAGAGTCGGGAGACTCAGGCCGTGCCCAACTGTAACGGGCCCAGGCCCTCAATTGTAGTCTCCGGCCTGGGCGCAGGGTTTGAGGCCCAACTGGAAGCTACTGGAAGCTTCCAGCCAGGCCACACGCAGCATCCAGGAGGCTGCCACTTCGATAAAGGAAGTGAGGCATCCCAGGCCAGACATTCTGGCCAGTGCTGGCAATGCGGAAGTGCTGCTGCGCTCTCGCTTGATGCTGCGCTGCTGCCAAGGGCGTTGACGGGGCGCATAGAGGCGAAGTGGGGCGCTGCAGGGCAGCGGGCCGCAGGCAGCCATAACCGGGCTGCTGGGCGCCGGGGGGTACAGCGGGCGAATCTGGTGGTCTTCAGGGAAGGAGGCGCAGAGTGGGGTTATCAAGGTCTGATTGAGGGTGGCGAGATACGTACCTGGTACATGAAGAGAGGTCGGCGATGGTGTTGGCAGTCATGTACATTGGTCTTCGATAGTCCAAG